AATTGTTGACAGCATCTGTAATTAGGTACCCCAGTTACTGAAAATTGGCACATTCAACCAAAAAAACGTAATTAAATAATTTTTGGAATTATCATTCACGAATATGATCGGTGACCATATTAATAAAAAAGTAGAGGTCGTTTAAAGGTTATGACTGATCTATATTTCTTTAAAATTCTATTTTATAGTTCCGCATCGTCTTCCCATGGAAGTGAAATAAATGATAATACTTCCATCTCTTCCTTTGTTTTATGTCTTTGGTTCATACAGATTGCTTTTATGTAAGGACGAACCAAATTTTCTATGTTCTTTGAGTTTTCCCACGGCATTGTTATGTGACATCGTTTTTAAAAGTAATTAGAAATAAGTTTTATGCATTCTGTAACTGTTGACTAAATCATGCTTCATTATTACTTTAGAATTTTAATATAGTTTTGACAACTGAACACTTTAAGTGGCGAAAGCTTGGTAGTAGGATATCATTATGATGGTAACCTTGTGTAATGTTCACAGATGTCGTTTAGACAATGAAAGAATTATACTTTATATTTTATTTCCATGTTCAGACGTATTAATGTTATAATAATCAGAGACAACAGCACGTATGTTGTACCGCGGGGTTTTTCGTGTATTAACTGTTGACGTGTCGTCACCGGAGTAGTATCTTTAAGACAGCAACATATTTTGAAACAATCATTAACGTGCAAAATAATGTGATTTTGTAATTCAACAGGGAGTTTAGTAGCCAAAATGTTTTTGATTTTTTAATTATAAAGCATACAAAAACACTTTCTGGAAGTGAATTTTAAAAAATCATCATTAATTCAAAAGTTAAAGGAACTAGGAATTAGTAAAATATGAACAGAGTAGCCTTCAGATTTCTCTACACATAAAAATAGAACAGGGCGAGGTTGATTGCTACTCATAATAAAGTTGCACACAGCATAACATATAAATTTGTTTTGATCTACTTTAAGTTTATCGAAGCCACAAAGTAAAATATTTGTGGAAATTTTATTGGAATGCATAGACTATTTTTGTGTCTTGTTTCAGCTTCTCCACAAACACTATTTTGTTAATTATCGCAGTTAATATTTCTTTCATATACACTGCGACGCCGCATCCAGATCTGTCAGTGCAAAACAAATTATATATGATGGTTTTAAAATATCAGTAGCTTTCACAGAAGGATTACTAAAGCCAGCTCTCAGTTTAGACGCTTGAATTACATCAATATATTGCCTCTATGATTGATATTACTTTGGACTGAAATAACAACTGATATGATGAGAAATGGTATGTAATATTCCAATGTAATCATACCTTGTCCTTCCAATCATTGCAAGATTCTTTTTTTCTTTGAAATTCATATAATTACTTAGTGAAACAAATTTTATAAGGATTTCTTTCTGTCTTAAATTTTTCTTTTAAAATACGACCATATAACACCCTCATTATTTGTTGACAAATGTTGCAACGAAATGAGTCATTAGTCAGAATTACATACATATAAGCCTGTTGGGCAATACTGGGGGCTTACGAAGGCCCCTCAGTTATTTAAGTTGACACAACAGAACTTAAAACTTGAGAATTGGATCTCATCTCTTTAATCAATCATAATAAGACTTAAATTCAGATGTCACATCGGCCCTTGATCTTGTCATCACAGCAACAGCTTTTTAATGCAACTGTCACGGGATGTCATCAAGAAATGACCTTGTATTTATCTCGATACAAATGTGTTCTATCGATTTTTAGTCTTTCATTTAAAGTTTATCTAAAAACTTTAGTGATAAACATGGAAATCATTTCTCAGTGAATGAGAAATCAAAAACAGGGAAATCAGTCATATATCACAACCAATGTGTACAGTTTAATTTATATTTATTGTGAAAGATGCAATTTAGATTAGATTTTAATTTTCAGTTGTGGTGTCCTTTACTCATAATAACTCCTCCATCAGAACTTGAAAATGTTATAAAGACAAAATTCGATGATGGGTGGTCTTGCAGAAACTGTTTTAAATGAATTTGACATTTTGATAAAACAAAGTTTAATGGAGTGAAACGTTAACGCGATAATTCTAAGATAGTTTGAAATTATAGGAAGTATTGCAGTAAGCAATTCAACGAAGGAAACTAATCTTCTCAAGCTATTTTATATTTCAAACAAAAATTAACTTGCAAGGAAATACCGCGCACATTCATTCGTACTTTGTTCATAGCACTGTAAACATTTTATGACTTTTTTTCAGAACTTCGGAACTTGACATTTTCTTTATATATACAAAGTTATATTTTTATACAGTTGAAACAACATAGGAAGTTTCTTAAGTAGATTTACATACAATGATAATATAGAATTAATAACATGGAAAACATGATATTTATTCCCACTTCTACATGCAAAATATTTTAAACTTGGTACTTCAGCGAAATTTAAAACAAAAATGATTTTACATTTTTACTAAAATAAATATTCATATTTAAGTTATTATAAGTACATATATAGATTTTACTCAAAAGATTTCACATATAAAATACTATAATAGAATTTTACGGTTTGTTTTTATGTTGTGTTGTCACACCAATGTCCCATGTAAGGGACATTGAGTGCTCATAAACATGTTTAACCCCGCAACATTCTTAACGTGCCTATTTTAAGCCAGAAACCTTAAATTTAGTAGTTGTTGTTGGTTGCTGTATATCATTTTTGTTTTCGTTTATTTATTCAGTCACCAATAGGTCGCATGACATATGGACTCGTCCTACATCACTTATAATAATGTGCCCAATGCTTAGCATGCAAAGCTCTGATTTCTTGTCTAGCTTTGGCTATATTCTTTTGTCCTTTTTGGTTTATATGCTCTTCATTTTTTTCATGATAAGTATTTTGATTTTCGAATATTTTGGCCTCGACCATCACTGAAGAGATTTTTATTGTAGAAATGCGTATCTGGTTTAGAAAAATTGGTACTGTTATTCGAAGTATCAAAAGTCCGTAGGAATACAGACAACATTGATCCTGTTAATATAAATGGTACAATGGAACACTTGATAACACTTCCTATCGTAATTCTACGGAATGCATACGATTGAACAGTTCTTGCTACATGCTACCTTTGTCTTGACGCTGGCAACATTTCTCAATAACACCAGTTTGAGATATATATATTCCTTTGTTAGTTGCGCTGTTCATCATATGAAGATTTGCCTTTGCTTTTGGATTTATTTCTGGGCCTATGAAAAGAGCTTTTGGAATGAGCATGACATTTTCCTACGCTTGCAACATATTTTTACTACATTTATGTAATGACTTATATTTAAGATTAACTGTACAACATTGTGAATCGAAAGCAAACTGATTTATTTTGTTTTATTTGAGTATCTTTAGAATTTAAAAATGATATCACAAAACTGAAAAAAAAAAATTATTTTCTTCAACGGAAAGCAATCTGTCTTTAATGACTTTTTATATCAATAGAATCGGTCGTGATCGGTTGCCTTTGCTAAAGATTAAAAGATTATGATATATTTGTAAGTTAATCAGTTGAAATCAGACGCTTTTTTTTACTGCTACAAGGCTGATATCAATTGGACGTGGCAATAGCTTTATAGCTATGTTTCATTATCGGTGTTCCCACTGTCTGTATCACTCTGCTCAGCTCTTCATAAACCTGACAATTGGTACACATCAAGGCGTTGTTACGTCAAATACGTTAACCCAGCGTAAAAAAAACTTTTGACCCGAACATATCACCGACGCCATAATGAATGAACCGACGTTGATAAGTTTGAACTAAATTTATCAAGTCATCTTCCGGTTTGCTTGTGAAAAAAGAAAAACACTTGTTTCTGTCATGCAAGGTACACGAATACAATCCGATAAATCGTATAACAGATTTTCTTCATATCTTTTTGTAAAATATCAGCTGCTCGACACAATATGAAGCCTTTTTGAACTCGTTCGCTGCGCTCATTCGACAGAAAGCTTCATATTGTGATTCGCAACTGATATTTAACAATATCAATATGCAGACAACCTTATAATTCGTACGTAATGAGCCTGTTATGTTACGTTAACACGAGGGGTATTGATATTTACCCCTTTATTTGTTTCCCACTCAGATTCATTGGAAAATTAAAAACAAAATCAAACCTTGTAAAACTTTGATTGAAATAGTATAAATAAAGTGTCTAATACGTTTTTGCTTATTTTTCATTAATTTCAATAAAGCAAAATGGTATTTACCTCCTCTTGCAATTGGTCGATGATACCACAACTGGCGGACTCTTAGTTCTTGAGTATATCATTTGCTCTGTAGTTGCCCGGAACTGAATATCAAATATTACTAAAATTTATATTCTAATCCCAGTTCTTTCTACTCAAAACAAATTCTGAAATTTGCATTGAGGAGGTACCAAAAATAGGCGAATTCAGGATATTGAAAGGTGAACTTTTTCTACCGCTAAAACATCATGATAATTGTTTAAATGAAATGTTAAGAAAGGGTTGAAATGAAATTTAATCCATATAAATGTATTGTCAGGGTACCCAATGCATTAGTTATGTATGTCTTTTCATAAGGGGTGCTGCATCCAGTTTAAGTGGACATCCATTTAAAATTCAGAGGGGGCAATGCGCGGGGGCATATGTTAGGTGCCAGGATGTATTTTTTTGGCAGATTGACTATTCATCTTCTGTTGCTACATGTACGTATGCTTTTATTTTTTCCGAGTATTATTTATTTTAAGTTTTGCATCCTGTCTTGGTCATAATTATGTATTTTCAGGTATAATCCTTCCCGGATATTCATTTTCAAAACCCTGCTGACCCCCCTCCTTTCCCCAGAAAATCAAATGATTGTCCCCTAGATCAAACACTATCCATGGATTACACATTCGAATTTAAATCGCATATGCAAATACAGCTTTAATTTCTTTTAATAACATTTATCGATTGACTGCGTTCTAACATTATCTTCAACGCGTCATGTTCAATAAGGAAGAAAATAAATTGACTGACAGGTAGCCATATTGTCAAATTTATTTTATGGCGAAATCTACAAAGACAGCCCAAACTCCAATTTCCTGTCAACTTTGCAATAATGATGCTGTCATTAATTGGAAATGTATCGATTGTGAATTGTGGTTGTGTGATAACTGTAAAATAAACGTTCATTCTCGATTCAAGTCGTCGGAGAAACACAGAGTCGTGTCCACCGAAGACATTGGTAATGATATAACATCTCACCTCAAAGCCCTTCACATTTCAGAAGTAATATCCTCCGTGTTTAACACATACCAAACAGAGTTACCATGCATACATAAAATTGTTTGCAGTGATGACGATGTTGTGTTTCTGTTGTCTAACTCTGATACTCAAAATCACCATTTAATTCAGGCAAAATTACGGAAGGATTCGATAAAAGTATTACAACAATTCGATATTGAGTGCCAGGACTTTGCAGTGAATCGAGATAGTGAAATTATCTTTGCACCAACCTCAAGATCAGAGTTAAAAGCTAAATCACGAACCGGCGATGTTAGAACTATTCTAAAGGCTTCTCCACTGATGATTCTAGCAATTTATCTAAACAAACACGGCGAGCTTCTACTTGGTTTAAGAGACAAGGGGCCTAAATATCCAGTGACGGATTTTTGCACAAGGCAAGTAGTTATTTTGGATACCGATTACAAACGTAAATCGACTTTTGAATATGATGACTCAGGAATGAAGTTGTTCAGTTATGCCGATCGTATTGTAAGTGATTCGAAAAATAACATTTATGTAGTAGATGTGATTAACGACAAGTGTCATGGACAAATAGTTTGCTTGGATATGAACGGAAAAAAAAAGTTTATATACAAGGGATATTCCATTCTCAATACACCTGATACTCCGCTTATACCTTGTGACATTGCTATTACACCGAAACATGTTTTATTAATATCAGATTGGGGAAACCACGCTGTACATGCCTTAACTGAAAAAGGGGAAATATGTGGACTACAAAGAACAAAAAGTCTTGGAATACTTTTCCCATGCAGTTTATCATTTGATTCTGAGGGTTTTTTATTGATTGGGTGTGAAGTAGACCAAGGAGAAACCAATCAACGAGCCAAGATACACGCCGTAAAAATTCATTAATCATATGATGAATTAGCATGAAATAAAAAAAATAAAAAAATTCAACGATGAAAATCACAACTCTTTATTTTCATTAAAAGATCTAAGACTGTAGATGCGACCTCATTCCTTATAATAACATCGTTTTCAAAAAACTAATTCACTTTGTAAATATTCATTTGGGACAATTTTTCATTTTTACCTAGCATTATTACGATTGTGTGTTTGACAACAAAATAATCAAGGTAATCTCATGTTTGTGGATTTGTGATTCGAATTGGACTAAGCAAAATAAAGATTTATTTGGCCTTACACTTTTGAGATGATTCAATTTTTGAATCTTTAAAGTTTTACACAGTCATAGAATTGATAAGGTGATTCATGGACAAGATTCATAGGCTGAATTCGTGCTTTACCCTAAGAATTGTAAAGCAAAATAATTTTAACTTCCAAATTTAACAAAAGAGTGTTTTCATAGTTTTTCATTGTTCTCAAAATATCTTAAGATTGCGCCATCATGCAACAACATAAACATCTAACATTGTGGACAAAACATCTTTGTTCAGCAAGCTCGGGATTATTCTTACAATACACTTATTGTTTAATATGTGAAACAGCAGAAATACAACCTCTTTGATATTGTTGGATGATTTTGCCAAAAAATTACTGCACTCTGATGTCATCCTAATGTTAAAATAGCCATATTACAGAAATAAAAGGAGGAGGTTTGATAAGAGCCATTATCTGACCCCCAAAATTGCAAAATTAGAGAAACCCTTCGGTCCTTTCAAAATGACGTTAGTTTAATTGATCAAAGAAAAGTATGATTTATGATTTGGAAATACAGTTATTATACAACTGTGACGTCATAAACATGTTGAAATGATATATTTGACTTTGAATGGCCATTTAACATAATTATTTAAAAAAAAATTACAATTGAACCAAGGCAGTTAAATAGCTTACAAAATTTTCGACAAAGAAAAAATAGAAAAGGATAAAGAGAGATGTACAGCGAGTATATGCCATAGAATAGATTGATTGTTGTTTACTTAACGTTCGGTGGCAAATATTTCATGCATGTTCAGGACGAAAATTTAAAAAAAAATGTAGGTCATTTAAAGGGAGGTCGACCGGGATGATTGGATTGAAATTTTGATGGATACTGGAAAATGAGAGTATATAAGTTAGGGACATAAATGTAGTCTTGCAACACGGTCCCTCAAACCGTTGTAGGAAAGGTTATAAACGTGCAGAGAGAATGGCACTCTCTCTACATTCGAAATTAAAAGTCCACAAACTGACCGGACATGGCTGCGAATTTATACATGTTGCACATCCAAACGACCGCACAACTTTGGCAAGGGTTCTGCTGCCAGTTGGAAGAAGACCGAGGTAATCCTTGGGGTTATCAATAGGATTGAGTAAATACGGTTCCAAACATTTGACTTCTCTTCCCTTTACATGTGTATTCGTCATTATTGACATAAAGAAAAGTAAAAGAATTAGTTTGTTTTCATTAAAATGACCGTAGATACAAAGGATTGTTTAAGGAACGTACAAATCCTACTTTATGATAAAAGCTGTTATTCAAACAAGAAGTTAGAATTGTTCAACTGATATGATGCTTAATTTTTGTTTTTTGAAAGACATTTGTATTTCTTGTCTTCATTAAAAAATGAGAATTTCAATTTTAATCAGCATAGTAACATTCAAATGTATTGATTTAATGAGAATTTGAAAATATCCTTATTATATCAAATAATGTGACAGTGTAGCCAATTCCCCCCCCCCCCTCCCCTTTTCCCCTTCCCCCCCCCCCCCCCCACACACACACACAAAATGAGGAAAAAATGTGTGAAAATGTGTCTGAAATCTCCTCTATTATCAATTAATAATTTTAAACGACTACAAAAACGAAATGTTTTATGATAATGAAATTTTAATTTATTTCTTTTTATCCTGGATTAAAAGAACTCAAGGGTTTGCTGTTGCAAAGAAATATTGTCGCCTGGACTTTTCTTGTCCGGCAGTAAAGCCCATACTAACGTAAAGAGTTGGGCATAAGTTTCCATACAGAGGTATAGAAATATGACCGTGTCTTGACTTTTCCCCACCGTGCAGTAAACTCCGGCGTACGACAAGCGTCCGTATAGCTATGTGTTAGATATATAAGAACGCAGTCACGCCTAAACGGTCGGAATATAGGGTCGTTAATTCCGATGCCTATGCAGGGAGAGTGACACACGATCTGTACGTCGGAGAACACTAGCACCAACTCTTTCAGAGGTCCGTATGTTGCCTATTTGCAGACAAAGTTTATGCTCCTGTTTAGCAACCCTTACTTTTCCCAGCTGCGGTTGAAATTCCTGTCTTCATTAGTCTGGCTTTTGGGTTGGTATTACCTAGGTGCTGAACTTTCAACTGACATAATGACAAATCTCATGTTATAATCTTATATTAACATACCTCATCCTCCCCATTTGTGCAATATTTTAAAATGTGGTCCTCTTTTGCCTATTTTCTAAGTGAAACAAAATTGAAATGTTCTTCCATCTCTGACTTTGCCAGTTTAGAGAAGGGGTGGCGCATTTTGTTAGTTAACGAAGATAGTTATCCTGGTGGATTTTTTATTTTCATAATTGTTTGGTATGAAGTATGTTATAATTCTGCTGATATAAACATTTTTTTTTAGTCTTAAAATTTCTTTCGAAATATGGAGAATTAAGGTAGTTTTTTTTTCAGTTTCCAATAAAACCTTGCTTAAAATTATAATTTTTATACTTATATAGTTGTATGAATTATAAAGTAATCAAAATATTTGTTGTTAGTATATATATGAATTATAATTATTCACAAATGTATTATGTTATTCCAAATCATAATTTATCATTGTTTTGTTATTTTTTGTTGTTGTTTATTTACACTTAATAGATGAGTGATGTTAAAGCTGATTCTTTGACAATAAAGTTATGACACTTAAAATTCTGTTTTTTGTCCATCCGTTACATTGATTGATTGATTCATTTACATGTGGTTAAATTCACCTGTAAATATTAAACTTATATTGCAAACCTTATGTTGATCTGTGTGTCAATCAATCGTCCTTTTGCTCCTTTTGTTTGTGCAACAAATATTCAGTCACTTTTTTCCTTAAGAAAGACTTCATATTTGGTTGGCAGCTTGACAGTGATGCGTTGTTACATGGTCGCGTATCTGTCAAAACGATCATGCTTTCTGTATCTTTGAACTACTAGTGTGGATATGCGTAGCTCAAGAACTCATTCAATTTTTGAATACATAAATATCAGAATGACATTAAGAATATAAATATACAGTGCTTTAAACATGTCTTACATGCAGACTTTTGACCATGTAGCTGGCAAAAAAAAACCACTCTGCAAGGAAATGTCAGCAACAACCTACCATTTAAACATCATGTTGAGATGAACAGTACTTATCATCTTGCAATGCTAAGATCAGCACTTGTCAATGTTAAGGTGTAAGAACAGCATATTAGACCATAATATTGATACAAAAGAGTGAGTTGTCTCAACAGAATTAAAAAATCAATTAGAAAATCGTGGAATTGATCTGCCAAACGTTTTGAACATGATACATTACTGATATATTTTGATGCCATACCACCATAAAACAGAGCTACTACCTTGCAAAAAGTATCAAATAAGTTTCTGATAATACACTTTAAATTCATGATACTTTTATGTCTTTTTTAAGAATGCTGTTTGATGTCCATATGCCATCAAACATAGCCTTTGCTGTTACATTGTACATAAATGAAACAAAAATGTCTGACTATCTTGTTAAGAAGAAAAAGCAACATATTGTAAACTGGCAAACTTTAGTTATATGCAAAACTTTCAGAACCCACAGCAAACGTAACCGATACGTTGTTAGTATAAAAAGAAGACAAAATATTAGTTAAAATATCTCTAAAAAATCATATAAATTTTGAAAGACAAATTATAAAATACTTTTGAAAAATAATTGAGGGAACTATAATGGTTGGCTGCATCTATAATAAAACCCTCAGCTGCTTAAAATTCAATCATTTAATCATCCCCACCTAAAAAAATAATCTCTGAAAATGTTTACTATTTTTATCATTTATAAACATTATTGGTGACAACCATACATCAAATATTGCCGTCGTCGTTATGAAAAAAAAAAGAAACTATTAAAAAAAGAATTTATAAAAAGTCTTGTACAGGGCCACTTGCAAAAAACCGAGTAACAATTCCAATAAAAAAATAATTACTGATGACACACATTTTCATTAAGAAAAAGTTAACCTTGTAACTTGAGACAGAAAATATTATGTTTCGGAAAAATAATACTTGTACTGCAAAAGTTGATATCTGACAAACTTTAAAGGAAATTATAAATACAGCTGATTCCACATTTTGAGCTAGTGTTGAAATATATCGCAACTAAGTCTCAAATGAAATGCATTTTTAGTAAAGACATCTACTAAGCCTTCGGCTTAGTAGATGTCTAAGGTAGTGACAGGATTATGCTCTACGACACCCTTGATTATTTATTGGCAACTATTTCACCATATGAGTCAATAGTCAGAATAACATATATTTAAGCCTGGTGGGCTATATTTGGGGCTTAATAAGGCCTCTAGTTGTTTTAGTCGACATAACAGAGCTTAGACCGTTAGAATTTGATGTCATCTCCTTAATCAATCCTAATAAGATTTAAATGCATATGTCACATCCGCACTTGATCATGACACTACGGAAAAAGCATGTTTTAATGCAATTTTCAGGGAAAGTCCTCAACAAATGACCTTGGTTTTTTTTTCTTGGTATAAATGTGTTCTTTCGATTGCTAGTTTTTCATCTAAAATTAATCACAAAAATCTAATGGTAAGCATGGAAATAATTTCTCTGAGAATTAGAAAATCAAAACCAATTTGTACCGTTTAATTTATATTTGTTGTGAAAGATGCAATGCAGATTAAATTTTAATTTTCAGTTGAGCAGTCTTTTACTGAAAATAATCCCTTCATCAGAAATGTTAAATGTTTTAAGGAAAAAGTCGAAACTAGTCTTGCAGAAACTGCTTTAAATGAATTTGACATTTTGATAAAGTAAAGTTTAATGGAGAGTAATGTTTACGCTATAATTCTAAGATAGTTTAAAATTATAGGAAGTATTGAAATCAGAAATTCATCGAAGGAAACTAATATTCTTACGCTATTTCTTATTTCCTATCATAATGTCCTTGGTAGAAGGTTGCAGCTCACAAGGAAGCTATTAAATCAAGAGTTCCAAGTGGTGAAG